AAATAATGAAAGATGAAATATATGAGGAAATGCTCAATGAAAATGATATGCGTGCCTGGAGTGCTTAAAGTTAAAAATTTTCTTGGAAATGTGAAAGGTGACAATAAACAAAGATCTTGTGACTCAACTACTTACTGATTATAAAAAAAGGGTTCCAATCTAGCCCTTAAAATTTTATTTCTGGACTCCCGTTTGGCCTTTTCCACGAAAATTTAGGACTGTAAGTGAGAACCAAAAACTGAAAGGGTGCGTTAGTCTTTTATTAATTTTATTATTATTATTAAAGAGCAGCGAATTGATAGCAACGGCGGATTAACGACAGCAGCATTTTTGTTTTTATATTGCAACATTCTCCTGACGCATAAGTTCGTTGCCCGCCCACTGCGGCCAGGAGCGGTAACCCCACACTTGCCTATGTATGTCGCAAGCGACTGTGTTGGCGTATGCTGATTCGGATATAACAGCAGACACTTAATCGGCCAGATTTTATGTTCAATTACAGTTCAATTATACTTTTAAGTTCAGTTTGTAACTTGAAATTAAAAACTTAAAAATAAAGTACTAGATCCAGCACTTGCGGAATAATCTCTATTATTGGGACCTGTTGCTGCTAATCAGCTTTATTGGCATCCTACGAACGAGAATTTACACTCTTACATTAGAAATGTCTCGTAATATGTATGTTCATACCAAATGAACGCATCCCTGCATTGCCCTCCTAACTCGTCTAGATACGAATTAGAGAACAATACAAAAARCACCTAACAGCGCCAACATAGTAACGAAGTAACCAACAAACAGAAAGACACAATAAAACCAATCACCATAGTGGACGGACAAATTGGTGCAAAACTCTAGATCAGCAGTTACAACAAAACCAGCAGCAAAAGAATCAAAGGTCTCAACGCGGAAGTAAAAAACCACATCAGGCTAAATTTAAATATATAATTAAATTTATTAGAATTGTAATTATATTCATAAACAACACACAATTATACATACCCACACATAATCACCCCCTTGTATTTATTACCCCATACACATATTTTATACTTACTCAAATACACGTCTGTTCGCCGATCATATATATATAAAAATGAATTGCTGTTCGTTAGTTTCACTAAAACTCGAGAACGGCTGAACGGATTTATCTAATCTTAGTCTTGAAATGTTCGTGGAGGTTTACGGAAAGCTTAAACGGCGAGAAAATATCAAATTATTACCGGGAAAACCCCTAAAAACAGCCCTTTTTTAAATCCCATACAAACATTTTTTAAATAAAATGTAGAGTCAATTTGAACTTTATTGCTGTTCAATAGCACTGTTGTCTAAGCAAGTTAGATATGTTCCTAACGCGAAAGAGTCAATTTGCAATTTATTACCGCTTCACAAAGTTGAAATTCAACCATATCTATCGCAATAGTCTTCGGGTGCGCTTTGGAGGATCTAATGTCGCGTTCCGAAACTAAATAAAGCGAACGCGACAAAATTTTATAGGCACAGAATGTAATAAATATTAGTGGTACAGATTTTCAATCAATTTGATCCGCTTCGCGAAACTTACCTTTAACTAACTTCAGTTGTTACTGTATCAGATTATTTTTTTAAGTTTAATAAATCTTAAGTTTTGTCACAAATTAAGTTTCTGAACGCAAACAATAAAATTTGACAACCAACTAAAATTTCAATCATTCTGTCGCACTTCAGACCCGGAGATTTAGCTTAAAGGTTTTAAACCAAGCCAATAAACTCCAAAAAAATAAATAAAAAAATCAGAACACGGAATACGATCATGGAAACGATATTCCATGGGTGCATCCTTCTTCTTTTGTGAGTGACGATTACCGCTACGTGCGCGAGAACTTTCTTTCCTTTTGAGATCCTTTGTATTTGTGAGATTCCAAGTACTGTGCTCTTTTTTGTTGATATTTTGCGATTTTGCGACACTTTACTGTTAAGTGAGCGCGAAATTTTCTCACTTTGATTAATTACGTTACGATGTCGAGGAGAAGACGACCAGGGATAGAATCGTTATATCCGTGAACATATAACGTAAAAGTCTGTATTCTTTCTTTTTAAGATTCCTATGCCTTGTTCAACGATACATCTACAAAAAAATTTTGTTCATAATTAATTTGTTTTTGAAGTTATACTTCTTATACGAGTTCGGAAAAGGTTGCGATAGATTTCTTGCGTTAAATAGTTGCGCAACGCATTTGTTGACATTTCGGCGAAAATGTTCGAGATTTTAAAAATCAAATGCTCCCGGCGGGCTTCGAACCAGTGAATCACCACCAGTTCACTCATTTTCAATTTTTAAGCGCTTACGCGCTACCACCATCGACAACTATAATGCGATGTCCAAAACAATGTTTAAATTTTTGGTTGGTGACATATTCACATATGTATGCATATGTATGTTTGTATGCTTGTGCTTTATTTACTTTTCTTTCGTTTCTGTTTCATTTCTGCGAATTCTCAACTATGTAATGTGTCCTTTGGTTGAAATACTAAGCGTTGGCCGTTGAAACAAGAAAAGACGATACTGAAGGATTATTTTTGTAGTCAGTCTTAAGCTCCAGTTATGCATGCTTGGCTTGACCTACCCAGACTTGAGAACTGTCACATAAAATATCTGTTTAATGAGCCTTGCATGTATTTGATTACCGAACGCTTGACTTGACTTGAAAGTCTGTTGAATTTAGAATTTCTTTGCTCTCTCCCTTTATTTTGACATTTCAGAGAGTGTCAGCTCGGTTCTTTCCCTCGCTTTTTWACATAGCACGCTTCATTTCATTTTCATAATTTCGTCGCTTTTAATTTTCTAAATTTAATTTGCCAGAAATAAATAATCGAAATAATCACAATGAATGATGAAAAATTAATAGAAGAAGTGCGTGCGCGTGAAATTTTGTATAACAA